ACTCTCTCCTTTCCCTGCTGGGGGCGGGCACCCCCAGACCCTGTTACACTTGGTGCTCGGGGGGGAGGGTGGGGACTCAACGTCCAGCCCACGCACGTCAGAGCCCCCGGAGGGCTTATTAAACACAGATTGCTGGCTCGGCCTGCGTGTCTGATTCGGCGGGCCTGGGGTGGGGCCCTGGGGTGGGCATTCATTAATAAGTTCTAGGTTGCGGGACCACTGATCTTATGTGATCTGATGGTGCTGTGTATGTGTGTGTGTGTGTGTCTGTGTGTGTCTGGTGATGACCGGATCAGGGTGAACTCCCCCTCACGTAACTTCCGGCGGGTGTGTGGGGAGGGGTGTCCAGAGGGGTGCTCAGCACGGCTTCTTTGTGCTCTCATACCTGCCACCACGGTGTTAAGTGTATAGTAGGTGCTCAGTGAATGCACACTGGCTATGCATCCCCCCTCCCCTCGCTTGCTTCACCCTCTGCACACCTGTTCCTGTTCTGCATACAGTGGTGGCCCCCCAGGGCCTGCAGCTGCTCAAGAGCACGGAGGATTCCCTGCTGGTGAGCTGGGAGCCGGCCAGCGAGGTGGACCACTACCTCCTCAGCTACTACCCCCTGGGAGAGGAGCTCCCTGGGAAGCAGATCCAAGTGCCGAAGGAGCAGCACAGCTATGAGATCCTTGGTTTGCTGCCTGGCACCAAGTACATGGTTACCCTGCGCAACGTGAAGAAGGAGGTTTCCAGCCGCCCACAGCATCTGCTTGCCACCACGGGTGAGGAAGCGGCCAGGTTTCCCAGGAAAGGACCCATTTTAAATGCTTTCTTCCATCGTCCCTGCAAATACCCTTCAACTACTCAGAACATTGCCCTGATTTGGGGTTGAAAAGCGTAGCTGCTGCAATCCTAGTTTCTGGAGAAAAATCTCAGTTCTTGCTCCCCTCTCTCTGCTCCTCCAAGTCAGTGGTAGAGCCTGCTGGGTTGGGGCTCAAGGGCACTTCTCTGCCCCCCTGAGAATAGTAAGGTCTGATTGCCCTGCACCACACACAAGCAGCCAAGGAGCACATCTGCACACCCACCCAAGCCCTCGTTGAGCCTTTGAAGCCATTCAGCAAGTTCAAGCTGGGATGGGTGAAGATTTGCTGAAGCGCCCTGCATCAGATTTATCTTAGCAAGAAAGAGAGAGAACAAACAGTGTAATTGAAGACAGCTAGCGAAGAGGCTTGGGTAGGATTTGGCTGGCGAAACACTATAGGACTGGCATCAGTGGGGATCGCCTCATTCTGAAGGGTCAGGGATGGAGGTTGGTACTGGAACCCAAAAAGAGCTGTGGGAGAGGGCTGCCTGAGGAGGCGCTTTGAGTAGAGATGCAGGCGGTCCACCTGGGGGGAAGGAGAAGGAAGGGAGGGAGGGAAGGGGAGGAGAACAGTTGCCTGAACTCTCTATCCTGCCCTCTGATCTCCTGGTGACTCACTGGCTGAACTTAACTAGAATCCAGAGGGCAAGAGAATCTGACTAACACAGTTCGTAGAGGTCATAATCTGGGAGACAGGAGGATAGAGGATGGAGGGACAGAAGTTCCAGCACACCACCTAATGTTACCACAGTGTTTGGAAGGACAGACATCACTGCTTACTATTTAGAATTTCTTGTTTTCTTGTGAAAGTTCTTAGATCTTCAAGGACTTGGAGAAACCTATTATTTGAGTGAGTCTGATCCATATATGCACTCATCATGTTTTACTGAACATCTACTATGTACCAGGCATAGTGTTTTGGATGCTAATAAAAATCATCTGCCTCCACCCTTTGCTAAACTCCTGGGGAAAGATCCAGGAAGACCTGGATGGATGGGGTTTGGGGCACATGTCTCTGCAGAAACATTTCAGTTGCCTATCCTGTTTGGCGGTGGAGATAGGGATGGCTCTGTGTTGGAAAGGGCCATGAAGGACCTGTCCTCCTGGGAGCACAATTTGCAATTGCTTTTGTCACCCCCCTCCAGCCATAGACCCCTTGGAACACATCTGGAGTTCAGCAGGTTGGGTTTATTGACTGTTGGGGTGGGACAGCTCACTGCAGGGGCTGTGAGCATCTCTGTAAGAGCTTTAGAAAGGACTGGGATACGATTGGGACTTGTATTTAGGTGATTTGGGGGAAGTCAAAGCCAGCAGGGGTTTGTTTTGGCTTGCACGCTGCCGGGAAGGGGAGTTAATTCTATGGTAACTTAGTGAACCTTATCTAGAAAGAACAGACTAGAGGGAGGCTAAAGCCATCATCAATAAAGAAAGGGTAGTCACTCATATCAGGAGAGAGAATATTTAGTCATTTTTGTGGTTTGGACCATTGTTCACATTTTTGTCTGTGTTCAGACACGATCACAGAATGGTCCTGTTTTGTCTTGATCTGTCATGGCCACACAGTGGCTTGTCTGATGTTGATGTTCTGTGCAACCATTTATGTTCAATGGGAGCACACCCAAGCCAGCCCAGTGAGAACCAGGCCAGCCCCCCACTGTTGGGCTGCTTTTCTCTTTCTCCCGTTTTTGTCTGTGGCTGCCTCCGCCTTCAGACAGGCCAGTGCCCCAAGCTTCCCAATGAAGAGCAGAGACATCTGTTCTGAAAGTCTTAGTAACCCCTCTTGGCTTCTGCTCTAGGGACTTGTAAAATCTTGTAACTGCGAAGCTTGTCTTTCTGTCTAATCTGATTCATGTTAAACCCATTCTTATTTGCTCCTCAGGGGAGCCTCAGTCCGAGAGATACTTATCCCCAAAATAATCTTGAATATTTTTATTAAGTCTCCGCTTTTTCATTTGTGAGCTGAGTAGGACCCTTCTGTGATTCTTGAGTCACTTCCATTACTCACGTCTTGACCTGTTCCCTCAAGGAATTCCCACCTTCGAAGGAAGAACCTGGAGGCTGGCAGGTAGAAGCCAGTAGGTGGGAAGAAATTCTTCAGAGAAAAGGTTCTGTGAGCTTCTTTGTTCATAACAGTGAACCAGGAACATTCAGAGCTGAGGGACCTTGAGAACACCATGTTCACCCCCTTCCTAATGCACAGATTCTCTGTCCCATGTCCTTGACAAGTGGTCAGTAGGCCTAGGTGGGAGCACCGCCAAGGTGGTGAAGGTGGGCATGTGACCGAGGAGAAGGGCAAGGCTGGGGAGTCTAGGGACTTGTCTTCCCTGTTCCAGACTTCAGGTCAGACCACATCCACCTGGGATATGGCCTTTGGAATGCAAAGTGCTCCCAGAGAATGGGTCCCCTCCCCAGCCACCACTCAAAAGTTCTTCCCTTGGAGCCACACCAGGAATCCATTCTTTTGTATTCATCATTATAATTCCATTGTTTTCTTAGGGGAGGTGGGAAACATTGAGCCATTAATACTTGCTGTGAACAAATGGGCCCAATAACTCTCCTTTGCAGGCTGGACAGGTTGGGTAGCTGAGGGCGCCAGGTCTAAACTGTGGTAGAAAGTGCAAGAAGGATCCTCAGAAGGACCAAGTTAAAGTTCACCAAACTACTATATAGTTTGGCTTAGCGTTAGTCCTCATAGGAGAATCTGAGAGGTGAGGAAGGAGCTATAATTTGGGAGACAGAGGACGAGAAAATTTTAAAATTTCAAACGCGTTTCCCACACTTTACATGGGAGGGCCTGAGTGCCTCATGCTGGGGTGCAGTCTTTGAGGGACCCTTCTGTGATTCTTGAGTCACTTCTGCTAAAGGGGGTGTTTCATTCAGAGCAGTCTGCCCCCAGGGCCTGGTGGTTTGGATGACTGGTTGGATCCGGGATCTGGAGGTTCTGGAGGTTTGGATGGCTGGTTGGAGAGGTGTGGCCCAGGACTTGGCCCACGGCAGCTCGGGCAGGGGGGCAGCCTGGCATCTGATGGGAAGGGATGGGAGACAGGAGGCTTTCCCAGAAGATAGTCTTCCCTCCATGGATAATGTGAGGACCAATAGTTTATTTGCTACTTTGGTAGTCTTGAGACACCTGTTAAGGACTGTGTCCTGGGCTGAAGCACGTTCTCAACGTGTCAAGAAAGGGCACTGACCTGGTAGCCAATGGCCTGTTACAGACCTGCTGGACCTCTGCTCTTCACTGCTTTCTCCTGCCTTCCTTGACCCCTGCCCTAGATCCGGCTGTGCTTGGCACCGCGTGGGTGACAGAGGAGACTGAGAGCTCCCTGGATGTGGAGTGGGAGAACCCCCCGACCGAGGTGGACTACTACAAGCTTCAGTATGGCCCTCTGACACGGCAGGAGGTGGCTGAGGTCACCGTGCCCAGGAGCAGTGACCCCAAGAGCCGATATGACATCACTGGTAAGAGCCAGCACTGGGCATGTGAGATGTTTGCCATGGATGCCAAGGTGGGGACAGTGTGCACAGAGGGTCCTGGGGCCCTAGGAATCACTTGAACTCTGACCCTGGAAACTACGAGATGTGAGCCCATTCTGTAGGCCTGCAGACTGTGCTCCAGCATCCCAGAGCTGACTGGAATCTCAGAGCACCTGGTCAACAGATCATAGGCCCGATGTGCTCTTGAAAACTGCCTGTGTCTCAGGGTGGATATAGTGGCACAGATGTTCCTTTTGGAAGAGCTCTGTGTATGTGTGTGTGTGTGTGTGTGTGTGTGTGTGAGAGAGAGAGAGAGAGAGAGAGAGAGAGAGACAGAGAGAGAGAGAGAGAATGAGAGAGAGAGACTGGGTTGTTTGGCATGTTGCATGGGGAGTCATATGGGAGGCCTGGGTGGGGATGTCCTGTCCCAACTGACCAAGTGAATCTGCTGAGTGCTGAAAATCTGATGGTTGCTAAGGAAATGGGACCTGCAGGGCTGGATCCTGTTTTGTGGCTCCTGAAGCTTATAGAATTCTCAGGGCTCTCTTTAGGGAAAATAATACACAATCATGAATACCCGTGTGAATACCCTTGGAAGTGGCCTATGCAGGGGAGGGGGCCCTGAGGCTTCTTAGCGCTGTGGTTCAGTTCTCCTCTGGGGCCTCATTCTGCTGTCCGCTCTGTGAGTTGCATCTTGAAAGGACATCTTTGAGGTTCCCAGCATTTGTAGAGCGGAGAACAGTGGGTGTGTCTCACACGTGCCACTATTTGTCTGCACTTTGCCCCCGTCTGGATATCGGTGCAGGTGCCGTGAACAACAGTCATTCAGATTTGCTGCTACAGAGAAATAACAAGCAACAACAACAGCAAAAGGCAGAGCAAAGAAGAAAATAATGGAATACAATGAGGCTAATTAGAAAAGAAACTTTTGAGGGAAAAGGATTGCTGGGGGCAGAAAAACATTCAGGCTGTAAATAAAACTGGGAGATCTGTGCTTGGTGGCCCAAGGAAGGAGCTCCATCAGGCCCTCATCCGCTCTGGCCCCCTGTTCCCCCATAAGCCTTTCAACGACGCCTCATATCCCACTGGTCCTGCCGCCCTTTCTCTGCCTTAGATTAGCCTTCAGGTGAGGAGCATAGCCCCTCAGCTCCCTCACAAGAGAGACCCTGGGGGAGAGCAGGGCTGGGGGCGAGGTTCTGGAGCCGGAACTCATCGCGCACCGGCTGCTTGTTTGCAGGTCTACAGCCCGGAACAGAGTATAGGATCACTGTCATCCCCATGAAAGGAGAACTGGAGGGCAAGCCGATTCTCCTGAATGGCCGCACAGGTAGGAGCTATTTGGAGGCACTGTGAACATTTCTCAAGTTTTCTCCTGATGTTTTTCTTGGCTGAGTCCTCCCTGGATAAAAACCCTGGGATGTAGAGAGAGTCTCTTTGTGTACTGACATCTATTTTGTGGGGCAGGGGAAGGGAAGTAAACACTTCTATTTGAAATGTTTCTTACTGTTGAAAATCTCCCCCAGGATCTTGGAGTCCAGGGGAAAGGCCATTTCTGACACCTTTCTGCTTATTTCATTAGCTTTAATCACTGGGTTATTTTATTCATTATCTTGGACTTAGACACACGACTCCGTATTACCGAAGAAAGTTGTTCTAAAATTTTTTTCTTGTCATTCCTGTGTTTTTTCCTGATGATCACACTCATGCACTCTGCTTTAAAATGTCAAAAGAAGGGCGCCTGGGTGGCTCAGTCGGTTAAGCGTCCGACTTTGG